GAAAATTATTATGTGAAACAGAATCTTAGAACAATGGAACATTTATGATTAAAACAGAAAAGTTAAGAATCCATTTTATGCAGGAAAGTAGGATATGATTAAAAAGTGAAAACTGGTTTAAATAATTACAGTTCACAAGAAAGTAAATTAAAACTATGACAGTGCAAAGTTTAAAACCTTAATTTTTTTAAACGCTCGAGTCTTTTTAACGTTCAATTCTTAAAACTATTAGTTGCAAAATGCCCTCCCTCTATTTAAATAATCTCCGTTCTGAGAACATTTGATTTTATCAGGAAGCTGATTTTAAAACCACAACATCTACACTTAGGGGAAAAATGTTTCACAATTTAAACTTAACCAATACACTAAAAAACTACAGTGATAATTTTATTTACATTTTATTTTTTAAGGAATCTAAATTTGAAATTTAAAAAAAACATGAGCTGCATTTTTTACTTCAGCGTCATAAAATATTGCATATTTGTCTGATTAACAAAATTAAAAATTAAAGATTTGGTTAAAAAATTTACAATATCTGGTAACTTTTTTTATTTCTTTTTTCTTCGCCTTAGTTTATTTTAAACATCAAGCGCTTTTCTGACATCTGTTGAATATTGATTTAACTTATTGAAGTTTAAACAGTTTTTATTTGTATTCCTTTACGATCCCTGTTTCATAATTTTTTAATTTTCAACCTTCAATTCCCCTAGGACATGTTTCTCAAACTTGTGACTTTCGTGTACCCTTTCTAAATAATTTGTAATTAATGTATTTTTTTAAAAATATGCTTATTTAGAATGGAGAATGAAGTTAAAAACCACAACTGGTTGTTGACATCACTAAGTATTAGTTGTTATGTCTGCAAAAAATAGCCAATAGAAAAATACATAATCGTAAATTTTCATGACTAGCTTTGTTTTTAAATAAAATTTTTGAAATTTTCGTTTGTTGCAAGATATTTTGCAAAAGAACGCGTACTCCCGCTACAGTTCCCGTACCCCTGGGGGTACGCGTACCACACTTTGGGAAACACTGCCCTAGGAAGTGAAATCCACACCTGTAACTTCATTATTTTTGTTCGTAAGGTCAAAGTGAAATTTGTTATTTATATGGTCTAAAATTATTCAGACAAAAGCAAAGTTATTTATTTTTTGATACGAGTTCAGACAAAAATTTGATTTTACAAAAACGGCAACAATGATTAGTATGGTTTCAAAAGTATGGTTTCAGTAGGTTTTGATGTTGTAATGATGCCATTTTTGCAGATTTGATTATAAAAAGCGACTGATTTGACCTAGTGATTTTATGAGTGGCTGTCATACTTCTGTTCATAAGTCGAAAATTAAAAAAGAAGAAACTGGTTTAAAGAACTACGCTTTACAAGAAAGTAATATGAATATTATAATAAAACAATCAGTAAAGATTAAAACTTTCTTTCTTCAAGTGATACGCTTGAGCGTTCTTGATACTTACAGCTACGGCTAGAGTTATTTCAAAACTATTCCTGTTAACTTTAAGTACCTTTTGAGAAGCGTCCCTAAAAAAGGTCTACTGGCACCAGACACGAATAGGCTACTCTGTGCTCCTTTTATTATTTTAAATCATTATTGAAATCTTTTTTTATATATTTCATACATTAAATATGATTAACACACTGTCTATGTTTTTGAGAATATTTTGAAGAAAATGCATTAAAAATTAGAACGTTAATCAGAATCTATATGTTCTCTCTCAACTTGAAGAAGTGGTCCAGTTGTGACGGAGAACGTCGCAAGTCACTGATTTGGCAAGGAACTGTCATTGTAGTTTTTAAATTGTTCTAACATTAAAGAAAAATTGTTTTGAGCTATCCCACGAAGCATTTTTTGAAAAGTACGTTTCTCAGGAAAAAAATACTTGGAACAAATTAAAGATATTAATTTCTTAAAGAAATACACATATAAAAATTTAAACGTTTTGGCAGTGCAAACTGCCTTAAAACAATATAGAACTTTAAATCTCTCCAAAAAAATATGCTAACTCATATTCCAGTACCCTCTCCAATAAAATACATTGAAGTCAATCAAAACCTGAATTGAAGTTAGCATTATTTGATTTCCCTTTAAATTTACCTGCAAAAAAATACTTCTTTTTAACCACAATAATATATAAAATAATGCGAAAGAATTCATGAAAGATGAAATAAACACTTCATGAATCAAACAGAATAACAACCGACATCATCACTCCTTGTTAATCTACAAACATGTCCGACATATTTTTACGACGCTTCTAACCTTGTCGCTTTGTGATCATTCTAGCCTCGTTGAATTTAGAGTAGGAAAAAAATTATGTTTCTAACAAATAAGTGCCGTTGATAGACGCGATAAACAATGGTTTATAGGGTTAATTGAGGTCAATTTGCTTGTTCCTTGGACGGAGATTAATAGTCTTAATATTTGGTAAGAAAACGACAAATTAGAGATAATAAGACAACACTTAATTTTTCCAGACGAATCTTCGATAAGGATGAGATTCCATAGAAATAAACGTTTAGAATGTAAGTGTATTTAATCTTTATCTACTCTAAAAAAATTAAGGATCAAGGTTAATATTAACTAGTAAGTTGGAAAAGGCAAAGCCTTGCATAAATAGAATGAATTAGAAATTTTAAGATAAATATAGGTTTCGATCTCGATGGTTTAAGGGCGGTTATTGAGAAGGACTGGGGTTATTGTGGAACCGCGGTGACTCTTGGGATAGAACGTTCATATCCCAATAAGGTGCTCCAGGTTCGAATTCCAGCTGTTGTTGGTTCATACGAATTCTACACCGGGCTCGCACTGTATACAGTGCTAACGTCCTCATTGGAGGACGGGTCATGGGTTAGAATTCCCTCTCCGTCGGGCCAACCATGGGAGGTTCACGTAGCTTTCTTCTTTATGTAACGCAATTGTAGGTCCATTCATTGTTCCATCAAAAAAGTTTTCCACGAAAGCTAGTTTGTCCAAATACTTGATCAAGGAGTATCATTGTCTTTTGGGTTGGGTTCAAAATTACAAGGCTACTCAGTTGCACATTGATAGTAAACACAGAATCGGGTCAACTGTTAAACGCAGGTTATAAAAAAGGACTGGGGTTCAATCCGCGGCGGCAGCTTGAAGCCCATCTATCTTCGTTCGTAGTGCAATGCTGGCCACATTGCCACCAGCAACTTTAAAAATTGCGGCGTCAAACTCCACGACCCACTGTTTTTTTTAATGAGAAATTTCAAACTTTTCACATTACAAATATTAAAATTTACCATTATCAATTTAATTACAATTAATTTGTATAAAAAATAAATAATAATAATTTTCTGCGCAAAACAGTTAGTTGACTGAATGAAACTTAAGTAAACGAATTAAAAATGATAGTATTCATCATTTATTCATTAGGTCATTGCAAAAGGAAGAAGAAAAAAAACATGTTTAGTGATATACTTTTAAATAAAACGGTACTGTAAGCTCTATTGAAACACTACAACAACAAAAAAACAAAACAAATAAAACACCCATTCACGAGAAAATTATACAGTAAACAATTCCCAAAAGATTACGTTATTCAAATCGTTCGATTTTGGAGAAAAATCCATTCTTTTGAATTTTATAAATTCGAACGTAAATAAAGGAATGATCTGAGCAAATCTTGACAGTTCGATATAAGTAGAATATTATATTGAACGCCAGTTTGCTGTCACAAAAACTTAAATGTCAGGGGTGCTCCTCTTACAGTCTTTCCTTCTGCTTCAGCTTCGAAAAGAGGGTGATGGAAACTGACAAAATCTCTCAGCCTAACAATCTGCCCAGATGTCTAAAGAAAAAATCCTCCCGCGTTAAAAAGAAGAAAAAAGCAGTTGTTTGACCAGAAGATTTGGAAGGGAAGAAAGGTCCAAGGCACAGTAAAAGTTTGGACACTAACTCTTCACTTGCTTTAAAAGTTTTTTTTTTTTTTAAATGAAAGAGTTATTTTTAAATAACGCTTATAACTGATACATGTGAGAATCAATCATTGTTCGTTTATAAAAATTTGTTGCAGCAGTGTGAAAATCAATGATCGTTCATAACTGATACAAGTAAGTATTTTGTGATCATTATAAAAAAAAACATGATTCAGACAAAAAGTTCGAATCCGAATAAATTTGGGCTAAAAGCTCGTCAAATCATGAAGTTATTCACATTCCTTTAATACGTTGGTGTGTACCATAGTATCGTGCAAATTAACCATTACATAACTAGATTACACCATAGCACGGTTCCTCATAAACGAAAATATAGCTCAATTTAACACCTTATTGAAGATGCAAAAATTTAGCGTGATATGATGATCCAATATTGAACATTATTTATTGAGAATATATAGAAACAGAGAGGCCAAATAAGGGTGTTAATGCTAAAATAAGGTTTGGACTGAATATCTAGCCTTAGAATTACTAGAAGCCGAATTAGATAGCCTTGGAGCTACTCTAAGAAACAGGGTGTTGTATATTAACCGTCCTAAATATATATTTCTGAAATCTTTGTCAAAAATGAAGTGATAAGAGGTGATAAATTAATATTTAATCAAGTAGGAAATAAAGATGCAATAAATCACAAATTACACTGCATTTTAATCCTTCAAATCACTGCCAAGGAAGGCAGCATTGAAAACATAAAGCCTGTTTGATTGCCAAAAGAAACAGAGAAGAGTTAAAAGGTGATTATTAAAGACGTGTTTAATTTTTATCAGAAAATCAAACTGATTTTGATATTTTTGATTCCGCCTTTCTCAGTAGTAATTCGAAAGATTTTCGTAGCATTTTTGACATTTGCAAATATTAATTTGCGATCTAGTGTGTATACATTCTTTTTGTCAAGGATTCTAAAAATATACATTCAGGGTGGTAATTACGGAAGATCCTGTATTTTAAAAACATTTGCATAAAACTGATGCAAATGCTAACAAGAAGGTGCTCTTAAAAAGGAGGAAAGAGTATTATTTACCGGAAAGAGCTTCTTTGGCATGTTTTAATTCCTTCTCTATTTGTTCTAATTTGGCAGACATGACAGCATTTTCCTTCGCTTTATCATCTCTCGATTCCATCACTTCCTCGAGATCCCTGAGAAGGGCGCTGTTCTTGATCTTCAGTGAATCTAATTCTGAAGCCAAATTAGTTGGACCCTCTTCCTGAGATGACTTGGAAGTACCTAAAATGAAAGTGAATATTATTTATTTGCATCTGCACTTCGAACTTAAACATCCATTCAGTTTGTCTTAGAAACGGGCGAGTTTTGAAACACAGAGTCGGTACATTGCGCTCCAAATCATCAAAACTGTTGCAGTTCAGAAAGAGTTGAAACAGTTAGTACAATTGGTTTAAAAGTCAGTAAGTGAATATATTCTCCGCAATACGGATTCAACAGATATTAACACATATTAGTGTAGCATATTTTGCATATTATTTGCACATTAGGGGTCTCAAATAATATTTAAGTGAGAAATAAAGATTAAAAAAAAGGTTTTCCTGTTGTGACCCCCCTTTTTTAAAATAAAATTTTTCGGGCGATGTGAGAATGAAGTTTAAAGAGGATTCTGAGCAAAAGGCGAATGCATTCCAGTCTCACAAGACAAAATAATTTTTTATGATTTTAATATCTGCTTTGCTCTTCTTAATGAAATGTAAGAAACGGTATCTGATGACTTCTAATATGTTAATATGCATAGTTTTTTAGACTTCAATTTTTAAAGGCATTCTTAACATATAGCTGTAAATAAAGGGCTTGAAGCAATATAATGATAAGCCACATTTACAAATTATTCAATTGAAGCTGTTTGGGGGAAAACACCACACTTTTCCTGAAGACAATCAAATGTTTCCAAGTATTGTGTTGTTATCTAGTGGAAATCCCATAAACTTGTAAAGTGCCTAGTCGGAAACAACACAGAGGTACAGTTCGATGACATCTAGGGTAAAAGTGTAGTTTATAGGCACATTGCCCTGATCCGCTCAAAGAAAGAAAGGTAATTTCCCAACGACTAAACATTTTATGAAATATTGCAATTAAGGCCATAATATATTGATTCAGATCCTACCTTTGGCAAAAAAAAAAGATTACTCACCTCAAAAAATAAAAAAAAAGGCTGAAGTTTAAGCACAATTCTTTCCAAACCTATTCCTTTTGTTTTCTTTTAATCTTCATTAAATCGTTAATTAAATTCTCAAGCGTAGTCAAATGTTACTTTTGAAAAATCCATATATGGAGAAAAAAAACATAATTAAAAAAATTATCATAATATTTTTCTGTTTTTTGCAAAGTCATACAGCCTAACACCCATTGCGGTTTATTGTGCCAAAATATTCCCATTACAAAGATAGTACAACCATTTAATCTTGAGATTGACGCTGAATAGTGGCAAAGTATTTCTGCTAATTCAAAATGCACACACTTCCTCTATTGTTTCTTTTCATTCTTTTAAAGAGTTGCTTTAGAAAGAGGATTCCTGTGCATTTCAGAACAACAGGCGGCTCTCTTGAGTTGCTTTTAATTAAAATTTTCTCAGAGGATTGTTCCCAAGTTTAGTTACCATAGAAACCATCGCCGACCTGTAGAATTGCACGCAAGTCTTTGATACAATTACTTAGAATGGATTAAATACAATGGGTAACGGTGCAGAAATGAAAAGAATTACTGTAGTTTAGATACTAGGTGTTAGGTATCTCTTTCAAATAAACCTTTATTTTAGAGAAACTATTAGTTTAATTGCGACAGTTTTTAATGATTTTATGGGTAATACTTTCACTATCAAACGTTTTAATTCGAAAATGAAGAGCTTTTAGTGAAATAGTTAATTAAAGAAGCATATGAAAATGGATGAAACACTATATCCTACTGAGTTTTTAATTGCAAAGTTTAAAAAAATAATTAAAAATCTAAGATTTACAATGAAAAAAATAGCGAAATAATGAATATAATAATTGCATATACAGCTTTATAAATCCAGTGAATTTAACTCAGCCGCTAAGTTGAAAATATATTAATATTTAAAGAAAACTTATTCAAAAAAAAGTAAGGATAACATTTTTACGAAAAAGAAATCTTTGCTGAATCTGAAATTTAATTGAGCTAAGACAAACTACTCAAGGTAACAAAAACAAACAATACAAACTCTAGGTAGCGAAAAAAAAATACGTACTCACGCTGACAAAAATAAACGATAATAAGTACGCAAAGGGGCAAAAAGAAACAATAATACACACTGAAGAAAACAAACTCAAGTAACTTAAATATCAGAAGTACTCAAGGTTACAAAAACAAACGACAATACGAACTCAAGTTTAAGAAAAAGCAATGAGCACTCAAGGTGACGTAAAGCAATCGATAGTATGTGCTTGTAGCAACAAAACACTGCAATATGTACTTAAAAAACAAAAACAAATGGCATTACATGTTCAAGGTAACAGCAGAAAATAGTGTTACAAACTGGGTCTGACACAAAAACAAAAGGATCAATGATCACTTAAGTATTTCAGGATCGTAAAATCCGCGTTTTCTGAAGAAAATTGACCTTTCAAAAATATGTTTGCTTAGAGAGAAGTGAAAAGTTGAATAGTTTTAAACTATAAAATACACATTTAATGCGTTTTAAATTTTCTTCATGCATTTTATTAAAAAAAATCTCATTTAATCTTATAGAGAAGATCTTAAAGAAATAAATTATCCATTTAGTTTAAAAGCAATAAAAATGTACATTTATTGTTCCTACAGCAAGCATTTTAACTGTAGGAATTCATTGTGACAGATACATTTACCTTCAAAACCATAAGTTTTGTAAAAAAAAATTGAAGTTCTTTACGACAATAAACTCAATTTCTCCAATTAGGAAATTGAATGTAGTGTTGGAAAAAAAAAAGATTTCCTGGGAAAAAAACAAATATTTTCGCATATTAAAGAAATAAACATTTTAGCATTTGAAACCAATGGTGCATAAATAATGATGAGATAAAAAAAAAGAATGCAATGTGGTTTTAAAGAAGTATTAGTCATAAAATGATTATTTTCTATGACTTTTCCTTCGAAATAGATTTTAAGCAAAAAAATATTTCAAACTTTGTCGGTAACATTACAAGCTTACAGCGTTATGTTACTTACTGTGTGATATAAAGGTATAACTAAATAAATAAAATCAATAATTATAAAAACTTTTATTTCCTAACCCTTTGAGGCAAATGGTGTCCCTTTTATTAAAGATTTTTCTGACGCTCTAATTACAAGCAAAAATACATTTATATTTTTAATAATAAATAATATATAAAAATAATAATATATAAAAGTAATAATATTTAAAAATAATTTTAATTATAAAAAACTGTAATGGTTACTAAAAAGATATATTAGATTATCGGAATTATATTTGCACTAAAACAAAAATCCATAAGAAAGTAGTTTGAAATTTTTTTTCATTCTTATCTAAAAATTTATCAATAATTGGCTTTGCAAATAAAAGAAATTTCCATGATTTATAGCTGCTTCTCTTATATTTAAATAACTGCATATGTTGAAAAATAATTGCTTGAAAGTGAGCAGTCTTTGGAAGAATTTACCTTTGACACAGAAAAAGACATCGGTGTTTTATGCTGTACTTCATAAATTATTATAACGTTAAATGTAAAATTTTTCACTTATTTTAACCTAAACTAATACAAAATATTGAAAAAAAGTATGAAAAATATATTCAATAAAAATGCTGAATCGAAGGGTTTGTATTTTTATGGTACAACACAGTAATTAATAGTTTTCCCATTTAATTTTCCACAGTTTCAGCTTCTATTTATTTGTTAATTAAAAACTGGACCGTCATATTATTTTAACGCATATTCTTTTTTTCGTTTTTGCACATCAAAATGATTTTCTATGCATTGCACCGCAATGGTCATAATACAGTGTAAAGTTTTCAAATAATTAATTCACGACTTGCTTTCCTTTCTAGGTTCTAATGTTATGCTTTTAGATAGGTATCAAGAGTTTTCAAAAGTTCGTGGTGTTTGTTGTGTGATGTTATTGCAGGGAAATGTAACCAATAAATAATTGTGGTTAATAATATTAGTTGCTGTAAGTTAATGTTGAATTCCAAGCAAAATTTCTACATTTGTTCAATGGAGAAAAAAAACTTTTCTCATTACATGTCAAACAAATAATACAAAAAAAAACTTAACGTACGAAGAATAAATACACCATATTCACGAGCTTTTGTATTCATACAGCTGGTATATAGCTTATAGTTTTTAAAAATTATTTTTATGAAGAAGTATTTTTGTGAAAATGCGCTAAAGTTAATATATTAAAAATATAAAAATTTAAAAAAAAGTTAAATTTAACTTTATATTTGGCTAGATACACTGTACTTTACTCTATGCAATTGAAAAAGGGAATTATATGAGATGAGATCCCTACTGAAAACCGAATTAGACGCAACTCACCGTATACAAAAAACATGTTATCGTCAAAATTTTGTTCAATAAAGTTTTTTTTAAAAAAAAACTTTTCATTCTGTGTACACACCCTCACTCATACCATCAGTATGGGCAAAGTAATTCATCACTACTAACTAAATAAATCCTATTGAAAATGTGAAGCAACAAATAAAATAGCACTAAAAAAATATTTCACCCACGCTACCAATTAAAATTTATCCGCAAAATGGGAATGAAGTTCTTTCTACGCAATTAGTCTTAAAAATTCGCTAGCCAGTAATTATTTCGTACTTCTCGAGGTATCTTTATCGAGTTGAAACATTTTACCAGAATTTAAAAGGATTAATTATCGTATGAAACGGAGGCACCGGGGTGCTCTCGAATAAATTCATCATTCGAAGTAATTAGGCACCATTTGTTGGCGCTTAATCCCGCTATCTTCTAGAAGGAATTTCTGAAAAGATTAATAACGTCTCTTTAACTGCGCCTGCATTGTGTGCACTTTATCGAGCTCTTAGAATTGAATTTTATGAGAATATTTTCTGTAGGAAAACATCAGGGGAAAAAAAGTCCTGAGTTCTGTTATTCACTGAAGTAAATATTTGAATGATAAAATTAATTATACATTTAAGTTGGAAACGTACATTTTGTTTACTTCTTTCACTTATAGGAGCATTTAAAATGTACGGAGATTGCCAATCTTTTAGTTTAATTGATTGATAGTTCTATGCTTGA